GTCGTTCCATTTCTGCGTGTTAATTTCAACGTTATGTGTGGCTAAATACTTTTATTGTTAGGATGAATGATGCAATTTGAGGTTTTTATTATATGTTTAATTTCAAGATTTTCATGTCATTTTGATACTTGGTAATTACTTATTGAGTGCTTAATGCTTTAATTGTTTGCGCAACAATTAATTGATTTAGAGATAATACTGAGACCGAGAGGTAATATATAATTCTAGCTTGTGCAATAATTATTATAGACATTATAAGAGATTGAGAGATAATTATATGCTATGCGATCCATGTTGAATTCCTGTAGATAAATACGTTCATATGTACGTAAATTTACATAGAGATATAGTAAGTTCGGGCATATGAATATGATTAGTGTTGCTCGAGAGAAATCACTAACTACATCAGGTTAATTCGATCGTTAGCATGTAAAGAAAAGATGGTTAAATGAATTGGAATTAAATGTATGATAAATAACCTAAGTGAGATAGGAAATCCTAACTATCCAATCACGTAATTTTAGCTACAGTTTTAATTTGAGTTTGTTATTTTATTTATTAGAATTTCGTTTAGAAAACAAAATTTGATTTGATCATTAGTTACTATTTTAATTCAAATTGAAGTTATGTTAGTTTAAAACTTTATAGTAGATAGTAGTCCCTTTGGGACGATATTCAAACTTGATAAATCCAATTTATTACTTGTCACGATCTGTACATTTGCGAAATTTTTAATTTATACGATGAAGTCATTTTATACATTCCAATATGCAGTCAAGTTTTGCTGCATTATATTGCTTGCAACTGTGATGAAGTTCTGAGAGAGGAGTACATAACTTCTTGGTACTGCACTGAACTCTAGCAGCAATAGGAAGCAAACTAAAAACCAAGGTGCCATCTTTAAACAGTATGGCTAGTTGGTATCGCAAAAACTTATGAAGACACACGATGATGCTGGCGTATTCTATAGTCACTACTTAAATTGTATAATCAACCACAACATTCAACTAGTTATGGTATCGAGATGATCAACCACACTGAGATTGAGAGAGTCCAGATTCTTCTGTGAAATTTGTACTCCATAGTCAATGCATCAGTCAATCATGTCAAGATTTCACGTAGTTCCAGCAATTCTTCCGCTTCCACAATAAATTTATTCTTCCATTAGTTCCTCGTAAAAAGAACTAATCGCTTGACGGATCATTACCCATTTAATATAATAGCTCTATTTTGCGTTTTCAGTCGACATCTTATCTTTAGTGATATCCCTTGGCCCAAGAAGGTACAGAATATATCAGAGTTCCCAAAATAAATGAAATACCAATTGTGATACTAGCATAAGCATATGCCATCCATGGGTGCTTGCTCTGCATCATTTTATGAAATTCAGCGATGAAAGTAGAAACAGTACTTAGACAACCAAGTAGTCCAAATTGTAATGCTGATGCCACGGTATCAAAATTCTTGGTATCAACCTATGCCAAAACTCGTCCATTGTTAGAAAAGGATATTGCAAGGGAAAGAGATAATTTAAAAAAAAACGTAGTAAAGAGTAATTTTATTTTCTAATTTTCAGTTTAAAAAGCTTTGTTTTTGTGCAAAACGTATGGAAATCCTTATTATAAAATACAATTTCTTTAAACTTGTCGAATCAAAACTAATCAACTCCAAAATGCACTTCAAATCAATTGAGAAGATTTTACAAAGAGTGTGGATGGTAAAAAATGAGTTTTTAGAGTTTGATTTATGAGTTTTTGTATGTATATGCGAAGATATAGAAGAAAAATAAAAGGTAAGAGGAAAACATATAACAGAGGAATATAGTTTGGTGAGGAGAATTAGACACCACTATATATTATTAACAAAGAAAAGAAAGTGAACTTGCCTTATATTGCATACCCAAAATGCACTAGGGAGTAGAATCTTACCGTTTTCTTAAGTGTTGCCAATGCAGCCATGATACAAGCAGCAAGAATGTTGGCAGTGAGAGTCCCAAAAGGAATCCATTTTAACGATCCACCACGTCCATTAAAACGAGCTAAGAACCACCTGATCCAGACACCAAGAGGTCCGATTATACAAGCCAAGAATAGCTGAGCTTCAGAGCTGTCATTGTTGAACTTGCGCTTTGCTAAAATCCCAAACGAGCTCAATAATATGCCGAGGGTCAATAACATCACCACAAGGCCTGTCAATGGGCAATGCTGTTTGTGCAAATTACGAATACTCGTGCACCTAGAGATGACACCATTAGAACTTGTATCCAATCTTATGAGAAGCCATTTAAAACCTTTGGCTGTATGAATTCCAAATACGATTGAAGAGGCAGCTAGTAAGAAGCCTGTAATGTAAATTTGGGTTAAGTTTAAAGAAAATACAGCACGTTATTTAATAGTATTACGTTGTAATAAAGCAAGTCTATTCAATACATGATTGAACAGTTTAATATGCTCAGTATGTATATGATGGACATGATATATATGATGCATGATATCTCTGTAATACACAATAAATTATACAATCATTCTAGAGAACTAATTAGCCTGTGAATGGACATAAGGACATTAGAAATGGCATATAGCGAATGCATTCAAAAACTACGGACATATCAGTTGTGCACTTATGTTTAGAGACTAGTATGTTGACTTGACCTGGAGAATGTTCATTTTAACATTTTTCTGCCTATTTCAGTTTTGAATAGGATCAAACAGAAAACCAATTATTCCATTTGTCCTTGCGTAATTATAAAGTCGATTTTGACACAACAAAGTACCTATAAGAATGCCAAGAAAAGCAAACACCCAACGTCCTTCATGGCTTAGGTCCAGCATTTTCTGATTCCAGCCACTGAATGTTGTAAGACTTCCTAAGAAACCAGTCGACAATCCAATAGCCAACTCGTCTGAAACTTTCGCAATATCATCCTTGAAAACAACACCAAACCAACCCATCAAGAATGAACCAACCTGAAACAATGCACATAATTTGCAAGATTATCATCTGAGAGAGAACAAGCTGTAAGAGCAATAACTTCATACCTTGGAAGTAACAGTTTTCTTGCGTACTGTGTTTCTGTGTTTTTTAAGGTAGACTAAACAATACTATACAGTATGAAGAAAAGAAAAGAGGTTGGAATCTTGTCCATTATAATGTCCAGTATCACTAATGTAGAGTACCAAACAAGCACTTCATGTTCCACCCGACACGGAGAAATTTAGGTAGTATCCAGTTGAACATTATCTATCTCGATAATGGATTCGATGACATTGTACATATTACATTCCAAACACCTATGAGTGCGAGAATCTTGAGTTCATATGCATGTGATTGGTGGTTCAACATGAGTGCTTGTGCCTTTCTCTGTGTGTGAGAGAGAGAGGGAGAGAGAGAGAGACCATGTTTGAAGGAAGATCAGGATACATATAGTTTTGGTCACTTGTAGCACCCACTACCTGTGGTCCAAATAGCTTTTCGAGAGCATACCTTGCTAGAACCTACAAAAATATTACAAAAAAAGTGTTAGGAGCCACAATTTCAACAAATTTTAGTGTGACCTAATAGAAAATATCAGGAAAAAAATCATTTTCAATCCACTGTCAATTGCTGATCTTGCAATAAATGATGAATTTCGTCATAAGAATGGACAATTTACGTATAAAAAACCACCGAATGTGGATGAGAATTTTTTCGGGCTAATAGGAAAGAAGCCGAGCAATAAAAAACTCGTGAAATGTAAAGGGAGCAGATATCAAAACATTATGTACAGAAGGCAGAAGAACCAGAGGAAAAGCATTTGATATAATACTTTTGCGTTTTCAACAATCCATCCAAAATATCTAAAAATTCGATCAAGACAGAGCCATAAGATTTCACTCTCCTGTTTATGATCAGGGATTGTCTTAATTCAAAATTTCAGAAAGAGATAAGAGCATCACACTCAAACTTACTTCTGCTACCGATTTTATACCTTGTTATATATAATCCATACTCATGAAATCGTAGTGAATTCAAACAAAATGATACACAAGTTATCCAATTATACAATAGTATTTGGAGTCGATTACTCATACTATTATGCATCTGTAGAGTTTTAAGATGCAAAATAGCCTTCTACAGATTTCAAGGTCAAATGATATATGCTAGAACATAGAAGATATAAAAGGTTAGTAATTAGTATAATACCCCAAGAATTCCAAATATTGCAAGACTGAGGAGACATTGGCCATACTTCAACAAACCTGGCCCCTCTTTCTCATGCTCCTGTGTAGAAATCAATTGAAAGGCAAGTCATTTGTGCCAATTTCACCTTTCAAAATATTCATCCTAATACTAGGTGTTACGGATTAAGTTCTAATCCCTACTTATGAGAGAAACCGTGAACAAATATAAAATTAGAAAACAAGAAAACCACACAGATTTATGGTGATTTGCCCTTAATGTAAGAGCAACATCCATTATGCCACTTGAGGATTTTACTATAATGAAGAACAAAAAATAAACGACCTTGTAAAATCCTTCATATAGAAGTCTCCACATAGTCCAACACCATCACCTTCATGTTTAAGTTGAACAAAGACGTCCCAAAATACTGAGACTAAAAACCACATGGAAAAGAAGAAGAAAACTAACTTTCTTTTTATCTTTAGATGGGTGAATTGCATCAGTCGAAAGGGGAGATATAGTTTGCAAAGTTGATGCTGGTATAGGGGAAGCAGTATTCACAGCAGTATCTTCTTGAATGGGAACGACAACTGCAATTTCTGTTACATTATCGAAAGAGAAACGATGCCTCCCGCTTTCACTGTACCTATGGCTATAAAGTGCTCGATCCCCAATATCACCTGCCTCAGAAACGGACTCACTTTCAACATCATCATCTACTAGATGTTGGATTGATGATAAATTTGAAGACCGCCTCCTTAAAGAAGAATTGGCACTACTTGCTCGACCAAATGATCCACTCTGTCTAGGTCCAAACTCATGAGTCTCGCGATCCATAATCCTTTGCTTGTGTTAGTGAAACTTCACAGATTTCTCGAAAATGAAATTCAAATATTTACGTCCTGTAGATATGCAAGTTCAAATAGAATATCATCAGCTCAATTGTCTATTTCTATATAGAAAAGAATTCATATCATGAGACCTGACAAAATTTTATGTGGTTACTGTTGTCCTATCGCAACCCTTCACCTTTACCCAAGCTTAGGTCTGGCTATGAGAAAAGAATTTATATCACGCGACTTGACAAAGTTCTATGTACTTAGTGTCATCTTATAGCAACCCTTCTCCTTTGCCCAAGCTCAAGACTGGCTATACAAAACAAAAGTGCAGATTTTATAATGGTTGTATCACAAAGGAATAATTGTAACTATAATCTATAATAAAGCTTTCTACAAAATCACATAGGAAAGAAGGGGACAAAATAAATAGACTTCCAAAAAAAAATGTAAATCAATGGAGACAATTGCTAAATGATTCACTGTTAAAAACAAAACAAAACTAAAAAACAATCTGGAACCTAAAACTTCATGGTTTGAAAATAAGATTGAGCTAACTTATCCTTCATGTCATCACATACAAGGACGAGTCATAGATTATAAAAGATAAGAGTAGAATTATGAAATATTAATAAATTGAAAATGGTAAATGCCAATCACCATCCTTAAAAGCACTGGCTAATTAACAAACACTAGCAATGAGAAAATTATACAAAAGTACCCAAATAATGAGCCATGTGTATTAAATCTTTATCTAATTCATGTGATTACATAAACATAGTTCTATTCTTCTATTACAAATTTTACATTTGGATCATTTTAGTTGATATTCTTTCTCAACCCCCACCCTCCAACGCTGCCCTTTTCCCCCTAGGCCTGTCCGTTCGACTCGACATTCTTCAAGAGAGACCCTTCTAGAAATCAAATCCAGATTTATCATCATATTACCAAAGCAAAGTCCTCTTAATAAGATTAAATTAGTTAAAGGTCCTTTTTAACCAAAAAAATCAAAGCAACAGAATGAAACAGAACAGATTAATGTGAAAATGATAAATAAAATAGAACCAATATCAAAATTATGACGGAAAAAAAAAAAACAATGTCACATCTCAGTTATCACAACAGTTTTCAATCAAAGCAAAATGACACGGCTTTGAGTGGAAGTCCAAAATTTGGTGGACCCCCAAGATTTGTTCATCACTCAAAATTTTCAAAAACAGACAACGTGTAAAAGAGAAAAAAAGAAAGAATCCTATTCCGATCAACACTTTCAATCTGACCGCAAAACAGTTTCAAGAAAACTAAGGTAAGATCAAAAGTACATTCTTTAGCAGAGTTTGAGAGAAAAACAGTAACCTCCACTAACACAGAAATATTATAACGCCATTAAAAACCCAATACCATTGGCCTCGTGAACAATAAATAAAACCCATATTATATTCAACTTCATGAATAATTACAAAAATCCCATTAAAAAGTTTTCACTTTTCTGGGCCTAAAACTATGAAAATTTAAAATACGCACGTGAATCCACATGAAAAGGTTGTTGCATGTATATGTGTCTATATATATATATATAGATACACACACACAGAGAGAGATAGAGAGAGAGAGAGAGAGACCAGATGGGTGTAATATATATACACGCACAGTTATCTATACATATATGAGGTCGGAAAGCTTTAGATGATGAGGAACGGATCTGAAATTACGAATTTTTTTAACGTAAACCCCAGATAACTGGGATTAATGGCATCAAATAATTATGGTGTGCGGAAAATAAATTGCAGGGAAGAAGAATGGCTGTAAATTGTACCTCAGGAATCGGCAATGGAGGGCTCTAATTATTTCCGTGTGATGCAGAACTATTTCGTATGGGTTTTGACTTTTTTGTGCCCCTAAACACAATTTTTTTTACTGATTTTGGCCGCAATCACAAGTTGACCAACGACTATGAGTAACGATAAACCGACTTGGATGCAGATTGTAGTAAATGAGTTCACGAGTCTAAAGATGGGTCGAGTTGTCTAGATTCAAGACGATTGGGTTTTTATATAGTTAAATCGAGATGATACATTGACATAATCGAGAAGGCGATAGTCTAGATGCCCGCCACAATGAATCAAAGGTCCGAGACACAAGTAAGTGCTAGACTATTGTCGTTTCGATTAGGTCAATGGATCATCTCGATTGAACTAGACACACACCTAATCATCTAGACTATCACCTTCTCGATCATGTCAATGTATCATCTCGATTTAGATATATAAAAACCCAATCGTCTTGAATCTAGACAACTCGACCCATCTTTAGACTTGTGAACTCATTTATTACAATCTGCCATATATATATATATATATATCACTATTTACTCGTTTATCTGATGTTGTGCCTGGCTTTGAGATACTTACATAAAGATATTTTATTTATATTTAGCTAATAATGGCAAAAGAAAGAAAAAGAAAAAAGAAAAGAGTAATTTTCTTAATTGAAAAAGCGCTTTTACGTGACAAATAAACATAATTTTGTTTTGTAAAATTGAATAAGTACTATTTTGACGTACCTTATAAATTATTGCTTGTCTTTATCGAATAAGTCAGGATTTTGGCACTGCAAAATTCGACCACACTCAATGATGAACTTGTTCTTCAACTTTCCTACTGTTCGATATTAGAAGAAGACAACTAACATGCCTAGAAACTTGACGTGGGTGTAGAATAGGTTACTCAATCCACTTATATTTGTTTGATTTCATTATTTTCAAAATATTTTTTTTCTCTTATTTTGGACCATATATTTTTCAATAAAATAATATTACACGTAAATTTAAAATTTAATCAAACATTCTTCATCAAAATACTATTTCAAAATACATTTTCATTAATGCTTCCTCTATAAATGGGCCCAAAGTATTGGCCCATACCGTACAGCCTTAGCCTGTAACCAGAACTATAACCGGGTTAATTAGGTTAATGATCACTGAAATTTCGAAGAAGCAAGCTATAATCATTATTCGTTGATTTTGTAAGTTCACAAATATATTGATAAGTAAAGTTCCGTTCTCACGATAACCATGCTATTAAGTGTTGACCTCAAAAAATGAAATCAACAGATGTCGGGCCCACTCTTACCATGTCAAGCAATGATCCGATGAGTTTCTACCGGAACAAGAGCGGTAGTACAGTTGGAAAGAACGCGGGAGGTGCTTTCCGGCAAGAGACACAACTGTTCAAACTCCGACGGTTTTATTTAAACAGTCATTGCGCTATCAACAAGGACTAGATCGATTTTCCTCAAATGAATATCTGTTTTGTCATGGAATATGTGGAATGATAGATAAAAAAGGAAGAAATCTCCTGTAATATGTTGTGATTTCGATATCGATTGTGTTGCTCCAAAGAAAATCTCTTCCAACCCCGTGTCTCAAAAAAAAGTCCCTCTTTTCTATACAAGAGAAGACTATTTATATTGTTCTAACGCCGTGGTGATCATTGGATCAGATCCACGCGGCAACATCTTCTAAACTGAAACTTCACATCACATTCATTCGTTACATTTAATATTTGATAGAAGTCAGCCGCACTAAAAGTAGGCTGACAACACCATTGAAAGGTTACCGACACTTTACTACGGACGTCCCATCAATCAGTTATAAGAAATCTTCAAATCTGTTGAGGCGTCGTTGGCTTATGGGTTTCAAAGGACCCTGCATAGCCTCAGATCGGATTGTGCTCATCTGAGGAAGTGCATCAGTCCGAGGTTCGTCACATGAGGACCTCCAACTTGAGGCTCCTTAGACTGAAGCCCATGCTATCTTTCAGAGGACCCTTCATATCATGTGTGTGGCACGTAACCTCGGCCTAGTGCCTTACTGGGATCTTTGACCTATTGGGCCTCCTTTTGACCTTTCGTTGACTGTCCTGCCTATGTGGTCTTGCTTCTTTAGACCTCCGAATCGAGGGGTAATATTAAGTACCAAAATTCACAATCATAACTTAATTTGAACTACCCATTTCAGAAAAGAGGATTTCATTCAATAAAACTAGTGATTGAACTTACGCTAAATTAAATCACCTACGTAGTATGTTAGGCGATCTTAATTTTTAACTTTAAATTGATGAATAAAAGTGTTACGACTCACGATTTCACCAAAACAATCCATCTTTAATCTTGTTTTTTTAAGTTCAATTCAAAAGTTTTTATTCGGACAAATTCACAAATTTAATATTTTAGTGTGTCCACTATATCTCTATATACGAATATGAATATGAATAAGTCTTGACCAAAACGCATTAAGTCACATATGAATTCAATTAGAAATCGCAATAATAGTAGAAATGCATCTCTACATTTTACTAAATTGCTGAATTTTATTACGTGATCTGAATTAATTACTCTTGTTGATTTATTACAATCCATAAATCATAGAAATATTGGCCAAATATTACAAGCAGAAGCAAAATTAATACTTTAATAAATTAAAAACGGAATGAGACTTGGAATCAAATATTCAAAATTAAATTATATTTGTTCAAACTAAAAGTTTAACTATTCAACATAAAAGAAGAAAAATGAACTAAAGAATTAGAATACACCATCGTGTTTTAAATTAAAAAACAAAAAACAAGAGAATCCACTTTCCTACAAATGTAAATTAAAAAATCTGGTTCGGGAGAAGATGCTTCCTCCCATCTTGGGGTGGCGCGTGGCAAACACACCTTAAATAAATCTGTTTGTGTGGGCGGTCTACCAAAGCCAGTGGGCGGCAGTTCACTTTTTCTGGGGAAAAATTCACAACTCTGGCTTTATCTATCCCAAAATCAAAAATCAGGCCCCATTGTGTGGACATTTAGAATTTCTTTTGGGCCTTTGGGTTGCAAACTCGAGAAAAATTCACAACTCAGACTTTATCTATTCAAAAATCAAAAATCAGGCCCCAAGATTTAGAATTGCAAAAATCAGATTTTTCATTAATTAATTAATTTTATTTCACAATTATTATATTAAATTAAATATTTAACTGTAATATAATATAATTAACCACCCCACCCCACCCCACCCCACCCCACCTCCCATACTGCTCCGACGACTATTCAGGTGACCGACGATTGTTCTCCGGTCACAGATCAAAAATTTTGTAAGTCACAGATTATTTCGAGCTAACAAATCTAAAATTTTATAGGTCACAGATCAAATAAATTATATTATTACAATTATACAGTCAATAATTAATTGGTCACAGATTATTTTTAAGATCACAAATCAAAAAAATTATAGGTTACGTTTTTTTTATTGGTCACAGATCAAAAATTTTGTAAGTCACAGATTATTTCGAGATAACAAATCTAAAATTTTATAGGTCACGGATCAAATAAATTATATGTCATAGGTCACGTATTTTCAAAAAAAAATTTTTTTTTTTAGTTACAAATTATCAATTTTAAAGTCACAGTTCAATAGTCAGGTCACAGACACCAAAATTATTAGTCACACCTACTGCTCCGACGACTATTCTGATGACCGACGACTGTTCTCCGGTCACAGATCAAAAATTTTGTAAGTCACGGATTATTTCGAGGTCACAAATCTAAAATTTTATAGGTCACAAATCAAATAAATTATATATCATAGGTCACGTATTTTCAAAATTGTTTTTTTAGTTACAAATTATCAATTTTAAAGTCACAGTTCAATAGCCAGGTCACACACCAAAAAGAAACATCATCGCCGTTGACCCGCCACAACAATAACAAAAAACGACCACCACCACAGATCCACAACCCCAGATTTGCGACATTTTCCAAAACCAGACCCCATCTTCGCGACGGTTGCCACCAAATCTACCGCCCACCCTATCGCCGCCGACAAGACAGATCTTCGCATCACAACCTCCACCAAACAAAAAAAAACCCCAACCTGCCACCAGATCACAACAATGGAGGGAATGCAAAATACAACAAGAGAGAGAGAGAGAGAGAGAGAGAGAGAGAGGTGCTACACCATCACAGCCCATCAAAAATCCCAAAAATCTACCGCTGAGCCAAACACCCACACACCCACCCAACATTTCGGACACGACGCTGCTGCCAGCGTTCCAGCAGCGTCGCAGTAGCCAACAATCGGACGTGACGCTGCTCCAGCATTGCAGCAGCCAAAAATCGGAGCAGCGTAGTAACAGCCAACAATCGGACGCGACGTTGCTGCCAACGTTGGCGTCGCGAAGGGACGCCGGCAACAGCGTTGACGCTACTGTGAATTAGGTGGAGACGGGAGGGGGGAGGAGAATGGTGGAGTAGGGTGAGATGACAAAGAAGAGATGGAAGAGAGAGAAAGAGACGAAGGGAGGAGTAGGGTTTAGAAAGTAGATTGAAATTTGGGGGTAGGTGTAGGTATATAGATTAATTTAATTTAAAATATCATTAGTAATATTAATTATGAAATTAAAACCCGATTTTTGATTAAATAAAATAAAAACCTGATTTTCAAAACGATGAAACTAAATAACTGGTTTTATGTAATTATCCCCTTTTTCTGTCAAATTTAATCCTAAATTGGGCCCAAATTTTGACCCAATTAACTTTTCTCCTTTTGGCCCAAGTGGTTGAATCTACTACCTTTTATATTATTTTGGGGGATAATTGCAGTTGCACCCTTAACTCTTTCAAAACATTGCAGGTTTTTCCCTAATATTTTATTGATTGTATCCAGGGTCCCAAACTTTTCAAGTGAGTGCGTCTATTGTCCAAGTGAATGGAAATCGTCTAATCTGCCGTCGGTTGACCAAGAGAACTAAAATCTAACAAATTTTAATCAACTTCATCCACATGGTCCCCAATAACATCCATACTTTCAACTTGAGCATAACCATACCTATCTCATTCACACAATTTTCAACTTCATCAACAACATAAAGAGTCAAAGACCATCACCCTCTAATGTATTATCAAAAACCTTAATAGCATGGGAAGATTTATGTCCAAAAACTTGTCAAATTTTAATTTTCTTGGTCAACTGACGACAGACTGGACGGTTTCCATCCATTTGGACTCCAAATGCATGCACGCACTTGAAAGATTTGGGGCGCAATTGCAATTGTCCCTAACTTTTATGACTTTTCAATCTGAAATTGCATAGAAAAGGTGCATGAGCTTCATATTTTCTTCAGTTTCAGCTCTAACTTTTTAGTGTCATTTTTGGTTCTCTTACTTTTTAAATCGTTCAAGTTGGTCCTCTAACTTTTGCATGACGATCTCAAATTCAAGTTCTCAATACATCTTTAGTCCCTCATCTTCAGATTTTGTTCCCTCACTTCCAATTGCTTCCAGATTGACCCTTCTTGCTCAGATAATCTCCCATTGATCTAATTTTCTCTCAATTTACCACACAAGTCGGAAGTTTTACCTACAAAAACAATATTTGCAAAATTATTAGTAGAAATGAATAAATATTATGTGAGCTTAGAAGCCTAGATGAGCTTGTAAAACACACCACCAAAATTATTTTAGTAATAGTCACTCAAGTTTTAAACGTTACACTAATGGTCACTCAATTAAAAAAAATGATAAATCTTACTTGATGCCAATATTGTTAAATAATTATCACCAAGTTATATTATTTATTACGCCAAGTTATCGAAATTCGTTGTTAAAGAAAAAGAGCATAGGATCATACCATATGATTAACAGTTCAAAAATTTAAGCAAAATAATTATTGCAATACATTTTATCTCCTAAATGTGTTTAATTACTAGTTCATAATTTTCAATTTTATTGACTTGGAAGTAATATATAATGTTGTTTGGTGATAACCCATTAGTTTAATATTAAAAATTTTGAGTGACTCTTACCATAGAAATAATTTAAGCGACCATTGATGGATGCACCCTTTTAGCTTCAAGGTTCTCAGGTTCTAGCATGAAGTCTGGTGTTATTTCAAAAGGAGTTGTGGTTCGATACTTCAGAGAATGGTTTCGTTGAGTGCATAGTGCCATATGCTTCGAGCATACATATCCTTGGATGGATGTGACATTGAGTTGATTTTCTGGTGGATAGAAGATCATCTTCTTACTTCTTCTTCTTCACTTTTCTTTTGTTTTCGTTCATAAATCACGTGTATGTGTTTTTTTTTTTTTGGGGCATGTTCTATACGTGTAAAGTTCTTCTACTTCAATAACAAGACAATATTCTTCTAAAATATTGACAGGTATAATTTATACTTCTTCTGGAGCAAAACTAATTTGTATTTGAAAGTTCAATTTCACTTGAAAATTCAAACTCCTCTAATCAAAACCAGGTCCATATTTAAAGATTGATGCATTCACACTCTTTATGCCCTATCAAAGGCATCCAAACAAGAAATGATATCTCAAACCCATAATTTTGCATATCCTTATTCTGTTGTCTTTCCTTGTCAATGTAAGGAAATAGTCAAAAGAGTAAAGCCACTTGACACATCACATGAATTGCTCCAACTCTCATTCACTTTTTATCCTCTCACTGTCATGGATTGCATAACCCATGTCAAGATTTGGTCTACTTTTCCGTATCCTTACAAGAAGAATGAATACAAAAGTTTGTGAATTTTGGGGTATGTAACTGTTTGTTTTGTTCTAATAATCTATTTCTTTCTTTCGCTCTTCGATTCATGAATTGGTGTAGCTTATTTGTAATGTGAATAGCACAAAATTTGACGATATTAAAGGGGGGAAAAAAAAGACAATGTAATATATTTTTAGTATAATTGAGTGATAATGTATTTGCTATAATTATTTAAAAATTAAAAATTTTTTTTTATTAAATCTCAGAATTTATAAAATTAAAAAATAAAAGCAAATAATTTCTGAGTGTTTAATAATTAGAAGTCATCTCTAAAATCCTTCTCTTAGTGGAGCCTGCATACCAAACATCCACATTATGTATTTGGGTGGACATGCACTAACAGCTTGCAACAAAGAACAAAGTAACTCACTACAAGCTCCATATATATAAAATGGAAACCAACAAAAACAAAAGGGAATTACACTTCTTAAACAAAAGCAAACTGGACACACAGATAAAGAAATTGTTACAAGAAACATTAAAAAAAAACAAAAGTGTCACAAATTTTGCCACCCTTTTTACACACTTTCTTACGTATGTTAATTTCTAAACTCTCTTATACTCAACCTTTATGTGGAGGGCACTGATAACATTTGGTAAAGACTCCAAATGTGTCAATTTGATGTATGAAATTTACCATACTTGCCCACCCTCCAAATCCAAAACCAACAATAAATACCCATACTACTACGAATATGTTCATGGAGTATAAGCCACCCCAACCTCCTAGGAATTTTGGGGGTCTCTCAACTGCATTCTGTGAAAAAACAGAAGAAAATTGCACATTTGTTGATATTTGAAATGAAACTTGTTTGACAGAATAAATAGCTGGATTACCTCTCGAGCAGATGCAGAAGCAAAAGTGATCATGTGTGCCATGGCTGGAATTATGTAGACTGTGAAGCTAACAAGAAGAGATCCCACAGTGGAGTTGATTGGACCAAAGAATGGGAAAATAATTGCAAGAAACCATATGGGAATAACCACTGGTAATCTTGCTATGGCACGCTTGAACAAGCTTTTTGTGTCATGTACTCCAATGAATTTTTCCCACACAAAGTACAATGGAGTGCATGCAAATCCAAATGTAATAAACTGCACAAAAACAATTGAAATATTAAGAAATCATTTGTTTAGTAGTCAACTTTGAACTTGGAAAAGAATTTCATAATATTCTCCGTCATATATTCTAATTTTGCAAAATATTTTTGGCAATTGCACTGACTTCTTTATCTCTTCAGTTTCAAAAGGACAAGATTGTTAAGAAGTGATGGGTCCAATCTCATCTTTTTAATTTTTTCTCCCCCCCTTCAAAATTGGGACGTGAAGTATAATGCCTATATATCTATTTCGAAAAATATGGTCCCATGTGTGACTTTCGCACCACATGAAGAAAAAAGGTACGATGCTTGCAGAAAACGATCTATGGGGTCTTATATTATTTCCATTATGATGTGATTATGTAATTAAGTATAATGTTTCTTTTTGTAGTTCTTTGTAATTATTAAGGATAAAATTTCACATCATTTAAATATAAAAACAATTATAAAATTATTAATATGATGTAATATTGAAAAATTCATTTAAAGCTCAAGCAAGCAATCGGATTTTAATATCGACGTTTTGAAAAGAGAAATTTAGCAAAAATTTGGAAGATTGATTACCTGATGAATGAGCATTAGGATGACAGCAGTGTCTCTAAAACCAGTTCTTGGGAGCAAAGCAAAGGCATTGGCGTGGTTAAGCAGCATATCTCCAAAAGCCCAATAAACGGCACTAGCCGATGGTAGGGTTAGAGTAAGAACATAAACGGTTGCCAACAAGTATATTAGCTTGAACTTTTGTGGCTTCCACATTGCATGCATTATTTCCCTAAAAAAAATGGCACGCCATAATTAATTCGGGATTCAGCGATTTTTTTTTTCAAGTGAAATTGTAATCAGATCGACTGAAACAAGTATGTCTGTGTTTGTTTCTGCTAAAAAATTATATTAAAATCTAAGTCAAAATTAATATTTAATTTTAATAACACGTTCCATCATCTTTTATCAAAATCTGATTTTTATCTAGGGTGTGTTTGATGAATATTATTGAGGAAAGAATGTATTTTAAATAGTGATATGATGGAAAATATGTGGTTAAAAAGTAAGGAAAAATTATTGATGTGATGAAAAATATTATTTTATTGTGGTTGAAAGTGAGTTTTGAAATAATATATTTTGAAAAAAAGTGTCAAACAGGGGGCCTAAATCAAACAGGGACTATATGATTACGTTGATAGGCACCTAGTCCAGTGAAAATAAGCATACCGGTGACACTTAGCTCCCGTTTGGCCCCCATTATTTAGCATTATAATTTTTTGAATAATATTTTTTGAGAGAATGAGTGGTTGAAGAAAGAAGAAATTTTTTTAATCAATTTTAATAAAAGTTTATGAAATGTATGGTTAAAAATATGTAAATATTTTTAAATATGTGATTGATATAAGTTGTTAACTTTAAATTAGATTAAAATTTGAATTTGAATATCTATCAAGTATCAAATATGGGCTGATCTCGTAAAAGAAAATGAAAGGCAATTAACAATAAGAAAAACATGCCACCGGGTTTCGAGGAAGCATGTTCCCATCCCGGAGAAAGGTGCTTCCAGCTATGTATAATGCGTGCATGTGTTATGTCCATATTAGACAAGAAAAAATTAACAAAGTAAATAGTGGAAATGGTGGGTGTTAGAGAGAGACATTTGAAGGCGACCATAAGATTTATCTAGTCTTTCAGATTAGATGATTGAATCCAATATATATAAATATTGAGTTCGACTCTCGTCACGACCACTGAAAAAGTTTGTAATATCAAAAAACGTTGAATCTAGCCTATCCTAGACGTGATGAAAAGTGTTGATGTCATACACATTGGAGCATGTCCTAAAGAACCAACTTCTTTTTGCTTTTTTTCCTTTTGAAAATATGAAGCGTTATGTCCTAAAAAGAAAAAAGAAAAAAAAAGGTCGTTTCTTTCCGTCTTTCAAGCAAAGGAATATGCGATCTAATCCGTCACTTTTAAGTTTTAACATCTTTTTTTTTTAATCTAAATTAAGAGACATTTATTCG